TTTTCTGTTCGCAGTGGAAAATTTTTCTTTTTATTTTTTTTTTATTTTTTTTTTATTTTTTACGTTTATACCTATTTTCCATGTATCGGCAACACCTATTTCATCTCGGCAACACCTACTATGTATTACTGCGTCTTCCCCTGTCCATACGTTTTTTATGAATGCATGTATGTATGTTTTTTTTATAAAATCGTTAGTAAAATATATTACATTTTAACGGAAGTAATCTTAATGAAGTTGTTGTAGTAGACTCAAAAAATGAACACGTGGATAAAGATCCTTAAAATCTGATATCGTATGAAGAAGTTACGATGTTCAAAATACAAGACCTAAGCCAAACCACAAGACTTACGCAACCAAGCAGTCGAGATCGCATTGGACATAAGCATCAACAACCCAAGCATCTCATCAATGATTGTCTCATGTAAGATGTCGTGAAAAAAACCTAAAGAAATCATTTATAAGTACTGAATGAGTACAAAAAAGGACTTATTTTGAAACAAAAAAAAATGTTAAGGACTAAATATGTACAAAAATATTAAGGACTAAATGTATACAAAATGAAAAATATATTACCCTATCAAGTTATTTTTCCCGGCTGACCTGGAGTAACAGGTCATAAGGACTGAATGTGTACAGTTTAACAAGTTTAAGGGGTAAATGTGGACGAAAAAAAAACTCAGTGACCAAATGTGTACAAATCGAATAATATGTTACCATTTTAAGTCATTATCCCTTTTCATAATGAAAGTTATTGTTTCTTCTAACCGAGTCCACGGTTCGAGGTTTAATAGGGAGATGGGGACGAATGCAAGAGAGAGGAGAGATAAAGGGTCACCAATGTTTTACTAATAATAAAAATAATTATTTGAAATAGTTAGAATTATAAATAACATATACATATTTAATAACTAACAATAATTTTTTAATAGAAAATATAAAACAAAGTTAAAAAGGTTATTTTAGCATGAGTAATGGGCTTAAACCGACGATGATGTTAAAGTAAGTGATCAAAGCACAATCAAAATTCAAACATGTCTATTTGTATGTTTTGTGCAAAGTTTAAAATTTAAACTTGAATCACATTTTTTCGAAAAACACATAAATCAAATTTATAGTTTTAATAAAAAATAAATAAAACATTGGCTAAAATTTCCCAAAAAACGTGGATCCGGCGTATACTTTCATTATTGTTCTCATACCTAACGATTAACGGAGATTAACGGAACATTCAGTTTTAAGACATTTCATCCGTTTCTTTCTCTCGCCCTCTCGCTATCCATCTGACTGGTCATTGACGTCGATGACTACCACGATCACGGCGACTTTCACAACGATAATAATAAGTTTGGTAGATAAATCCCTCACCTCAGATTCATCAAATCTTGGAGCTTAATTTAGGGTTTGATCCAAGCCAAATGGGGTTCATCTTGTTCGCCGGAAGACTTCTCTTTGCTTCTCTCTTCATACTATCTGCTTATCAACTGTATATACTTTGATCTCTTTTTTTTTTTTCACAGATCTGGTTCATATCAATTATAAGCCTGTTAATTGCTTCATTAGTTTCTTCTCCTGTTTAATATGCTTTTCTATTCAAATTTGTTTTTCTCTGAAATTCACTTAATAAATCGGTGTTCTATGGAGAAATAATGTGCTAGATTTTGACATTTAAATGGCTAATTGAGTTGAGCTGGTTTACGATGTTGAGTTAACGCAAAAAGGACGCGTAGAACAGATCTAATTCATGTTGACTTCTAGCTTGGTAATTGCTTGATTACTTTAATTCTCTCGTTTACTGCTGTTACATATGCTGTAGCTTCAGTTTTCCTAATAAATTGGAGTTGCGATGCGTACTTTAACTGAAGAAAATGGAGAAATAATGTGCTAGATTTTGGGATTTAGATGGAAAATTATGTTGATTAGGTGATTAAACTATATCCAACCATCACATTGTTGCAAAATGCAAAAAGAAAATTATTTATGTCGCTGATCAATTTTCTTAAATAAAATTAGAGTTTTGCAATTGTGATGTATGTGGCTTCATCTTTTTAGGTATCATGAATATGGAACAGATGGAGGGCCAGCTGTAAAGGTTCTTGAACCGAAACTTGATGTGTTCACTAAATTGATTGCTTCTAAAGCTGGCATACAAATTCCTGAAATTGATGTAAGCATCTCTCTGTCTTTGTCTTTGATTATGTTATGCATTTATCCATGAGATGTTAAAGTTGCTTTTTCCTTCAATAGTCTATACCCATTAATTGCATATTCATTTACATTCATAATATTAAGATTCACAAGATAGAAACTTAAATACATATATGCCACAAAAGTTCACACTATGTATTTTATATATATATTCCAAAGGTAATTTGGTTTGTGTTGAACTTGAACAGACAAAACATGTAGTTTCAGCAGTGATTGTTCTTAAAGGCTTTGGTGGAGTTGGCTTCATATTTGGTAGCTATGCTGGTGCCATTTTGCTGGTAATTAATTAATTAACCATATAATTTCATTAATTGATGTCACCTGTACAAATTGAATGTAACTAGTTCTTAAGTTTCTGTGATATATCATCCACAGGTTCTGCATCAGCTTGTTTTTACACCAATATTGTATGATTTCTACAACTATGATGTTGAAGACGCAGAATTCGGTCAACTTTTTACTAAATTCACACAGGTTGGTTAGCTTAATTCCCATTTTAGCAATGAAATTTCATTTAATTTGTGCTTTTTAATTTTTAATGGTTTAATTTTGGAAACAGAATATGGCTTTGCTTGGAGCTTTATTATATTTCATAGGAATGAAACACTCGATATCATTGCGTCAACAAAGAAAGGTTCCCAAGACAAAAACAGGCTAATCACTCCTTAGATACATAAGAATCCCTTAATCTATGTTTGATTATCTTAGAAAAATCATGTCCATTTGTATTTGTATTTTTTTTTTTAATTTTATAGGGACTACATTAGTTGGGGTTCATTTTTTCTTATTTAAACTTGATACCCTTTTAATGTGAGGTTGATTATTCATTGCTGTATCAAATTAACTCTTCGACTGATAGTATTGTATGGTGACTTGAGATATTTCATATTTGTTTGGCTGTGTACTGTTGCAAGATAAAACATTTTCTTAATGTTAAGAAACTATAATTCCATTACATGGACTAAAGTTAATAACAACATAATCGAAATATATGAGTAGAAGAACTATATTTAGTTGTTGAAGGACTAAAATGACAGTTAATTATAAAGCATGAATATTCATCAGAAGCCGGTTGGAATCTAGCTTGTATCAGCTCCTTTGGAATGTGTTAATCCATTGATAGATCACCACTCAGCCACCCTTGAACTGCTTTGTAAGAAGATGTTATGTGACAAACATTTTTTGAATATACATGTAATCAAATGGTATAAAAGCTTACAAATGTTTTGTGAGTTACTTACCGCATAATCCCGTATTATAAGTATCTATATGTAGCACAAACCTAAGAAAATTTCAGAGCCTTGGCAAAATAACATTTTTTCAACAACCGGCTACTCGAAGGTGGTACCGGGAAAAAATTACAAAAGACCTTTAAAAGTTTATATTTATATATCTATTATGATATGTCATTTTCCTTCATCGTATTAGTTAACAATAATAATCAACATTCAACAATAAGTATTTTATAATAAATAATAATAATAAATGGTTATAAAACTTTGTGCATATATATATATATATATATATATATATATATTATATATATATATAATATATATATATATATATATATATATATATGGTCTTTTATAACTTTGTAATAATAATAAATGACTTTAAAATTAATTACCAATAATAATAATTAATAATAACATAATATAATAATTATATTACATTACCTTACGGACAATGATTGAAATTTTAACTAGTCGTTATGATCAAAATTAAAAAAATAATCAAATAAGTAAAATTTAAATTAATTAATTATAACAATAATTACAATGTAATACTAAATTGAGAATAATATAGTGTTATTCACAATTGAGTAATGTGATTATAATAGATGTTTATTTTATTATATCGTTTAACTTAGTTATAATTTTATATCCTTTTAGTGTAGAAATTATTATTTATAGTTAATGCCAATGACATAGTAATTTTATGCAATATATATATATATATATATATATATATATATATATATTAATTTTAAGTACATAATTAAAACAGTTATTAAATGTTAATACTAATGACACAATCATTTTCAACATACATTTATCAAAATTCTAACTATATAACTTTTAACGTGTACGTACATACATGCATACATATACATACATACATACATACATATCATATATATAATATATATATATATATATATATAATATATATATATATATATATATCTATATATATATATATATGTGGTGTGTGTGTGTGTGTGTGAACGAACACAAATGTATAAACGAACGAGTTTTCTTGTTCATGTTCATTCATTTAAAAAAGTACATTGTTTATGTTCGTTAACATGCTAAACGAACAAATACAAACAAACACAATTAAACACATATGAACATAAAAGAACATATAATATAGTAATGTAATAAAAAACAATTGAACATATATGAACATAAATAAACTTAAACTAGCGAACATAAACGAACATTCACAAACATAAATGAACGAACGAGACCATTGTTCATGTTCGTACGTTTAACTAAATGAACGAGAATTAGTGTTCATGTTCGTTCATTTATTAAATAAACGAACTTCCCGCCGAACAGTTTGCTGAACGTTCAGTTTATATATAGCCCTATATGGGGTTATTCATGGATTAATTAAACATGCTTATACTTTGTGTCTATGTTATTCTTGGATAAGTTTGAATAAAGTTATACCTTTAAAGATGTAAAGAGGTTCAATCGAAAACTTAACAAATAACAACATAAATATTGAATAAACCCAAGACAAGGGCTAAAACTGTTAGTTATTTTACCAAAAGGGTGTATATGATAAAATGTTTTTACCAAATAAGGAGTATTTGTAATTTAATCTCAGAAAATCCTGCGCCTACACAATCCAAACAACCCAACACTCCCAGACGCCGTATCCATCTCCGGCCACACCAGACGCCGACATCTCCATTAAGGTTCGGATTTTAACTTTTATTTTCGATTTCTTTCACGATTAGGGCTCATTCACAGTGTTTCTATTTCTGTTTGAATACGATTTTTGATATGCATAATGGAGAAGAAGAACTTGATGGTCTGTTACTTTTTTCTGATTACAATATGCGATTTTTATAACTTATAAGTTTTTATGATTTTTGATATGGATAATGGAGGAGAAGAATATGATGGTCTGTGTATGTTTTTTAATTATAAGAGTGAGAGCTCTGAGTTTCCAATTAGGGTTTCTATGTTTACATTCTCATAATCGCTGTTAAAAGATTTTTGATCTGCACGAGTTTTAGGTCATAAAAGTTCTTGTAAATTTGTAGGTTGTTTTCGGTTTCTTGTTTTATATTTCAGTGTTATTAATAAGTTGGTTTGTTTAAAGTTCTTTCTCGAATATCTGGTTTAGTTCTTTGATTCGTTGTAAAACAATGTTTATGGTTTTGGAGATTAACAAAAAGAAAAAAAATCAAGTTGCCATATTTTGAGAGAATGTTAGATGTCTGCATTTCCCCGTTCAATTCATCATTCTCAAATCATATATACTAATAAAAAACGGTATTAAAAAAATACATAAATAACAACCATATCCATATGCATGGTTATTGGTTAATCTCTTTAAAGATATCAGAGCTGCTTACTCTGCTGTGGTTCTGCTCGCGTTTGTACATGTGAGTAATGTGGAAAAATCGAAATGACAAGCTTCATGAAGGCAAGGTTAAGAACAGTCATGGATTGATTACTCAACACTTTTCTTTATTGTGGATCAAACATAGAATTAAGAATGGGAGAGGAATTATAAAAGTTAATAGGTGTTTGTAAAAAAAAGTTTATAAAATGAATCATATAAACAATCTAGGACATTCATTTAGATTCAAAAAATTTGTGGCTTTCTGTCTTATGAATTTATCTCCTCCAATTTCATGTGCTACATCTCTTTGACTGTTTTATGACTGTGTTGCATGTTAGAAATAAGAATTGCAGTAGATTTTTAACTGAATTGTTTCAGGTACATTGGGAATCAAACAATTCCAAGATTGTGAATTGGAGCCTAATCTGTTAGCTGATTATGAATTATGAGAATTGTATGCTAGTGTGTTTTTTATGAACTTATGTGATGCCTTGATACACACTAGCCTTGTGATCCATTTGCAAAATTGGTTTCAATTCGTTTGACTGATGTTCTTTTGTCTGGTGTGTTTGCAGATTAAAAAATGGGAGAGAAGAAAAAAAGTGCTACGATTTTTATACGCCTAGTTTCTGCTGCAGGGACAGGTTTCTTCTATGTTAAGAAGAAGAACCCAAGGAAGATACAGACAAAACTTGAATTCCGAAAGTATGATCCTCGTGTCAATCGCCATGTCCTCTTCACTGAAGCCAAGATGAAGTAATTAAAAGCTTTAATAGATGGTAACTTTCAGAAAACACCCTTCCCTTTTGATATCCCATCTTACTGTTGGGACTTCTTTGCCATTCCATAACAACAAGTATGCTTTGTATGTGTCTTCTTTATGTTTCCTGTAACACTCTTGAGTACTTTAATCTGATAGAAATTTGTTCTATTGGTTCATCCATCTTTTATACTACTAGTCTTTTCTTTTCATTTATGTTCTCATTCCAAGGCTTTGGAAGGATCGTTTATTGTGGTGGATAACGTTGATCATTATAGAGGGCCCAAAAGGGTAGTGGTGGAATAAAAAGGGCAGGGGTGGTTGTGAGAGAGGGAGATTCCCTGGAATTAGGTCATGTAGTCCATTTTCATTACATCACTAAGCAATATCATTGTCTCCTCTTAATAAATATGTGTTTCTTTTAATCCCATTTAACCCTAGTTTCTATTTCTCATCACCCACAACTCAAAACCAATATAACAATAACAAGTGATTTAGAGAACTTTTTACACTTTGAAAGGCAAGTAGTGCTCTTTAGGAGAAAGGCTTGCAGATAAGGAAGTGCAACATCAATTTATTCATTCTTGTGAGCACCTTTTGCCACTGGGTAATCAATCATAAGTTAAGTTTACAAATTCAACAAAATCTGTAAAACTTTATATTCCCAAACCACACAATAATCAATCATAAGTTAAGTTTACAAATCCACAACAAACAAAAGAGGAAAAAGAAGCAATCTTCACTCATTTCCAGCAACCAATCTTGCATAAATAACAATAAAAAGAACAAAAAATTTCCCAGAAACAGAGTCAAAATTCATAGCTATCAAACACTCAATGAAGATTATCAGACTCAGGTGCTCGTCTTCATATTCAATATCTGAAGGAGGGACCATAATATATCCACCCGATGTATGTTTCTGTTATTCTCACCCTGTAAAAAAACATAATATTCACAACATTAGTTACTTGACTTTCTTTTTCTTTTTTTTTTTTTAACAAAAAAAGTCCAAACAAGCCTTGGGTCAGGAATGTATGTACCTCAACAACAAAACACATCCAGGTTTTATCGCCATAGACATCTGTCACACCTTTTAAAATGGTCAAACCCAAGCTCCTAATTGCTTCTGTCATCTCCAGAAAATCAACACATTCATCGCACATCATCTGCATATACAAACCAAATAAATGTTGACAAAAGATTACAAAAAAATAAATAAATAAAATAAAAAAATTCCAGGGTTTTTATTGCTTTTTTGTACCTCTACTAGCATTTGCCCATCGACACCAATATTTTCCACAATTATCGGACACAGTTTCAGTTCATCCCCTACTTCCATTGCCCAACTCGAACCCTGCTTTTCCTTTCCAATCAACTGCAGAATCACAAATTCCAATCAACATTCTAAAGACCGGAACCGGAATTGGAATTTGAACCCTGGCATAACGCGAAGAGTATTCAAACAATTACCTTGAAGTCAGCAGATTTGTTGATTTTATGAGTATGCTTGGTGACACATTGCATGAAAAGCATATGCTTTATTGTTTGTTCCAAAAGCGAATCAATACTACACTGTAACAGACACAAATTACTCTTCTCAAATCTCAACTCAAATTCTCAATGAAGGAAAAACCAGACAAGAGTATTTTATAAGTGAACAACACAACAGCAAGAGTGTTTACCTTTGATCCATTGGGAACAAGCTGCCTGAGTTCCTTAATACGATCTTGAATCATCTGTCTATCTCTGGGCCGAGGTCTGGCTCGTTTTTTCCCGACCTTAACCACTTGTTCATGTGACCCCTCTACCTTTTTGTATGATGCTTCCAAGTTTCTTGTCATGTCAATTGAGTAACAACCTGAACCACTGGTTGATCTGCCTTTGGCAACAACTGCTTCCAAAAGATGTTGAGAGGCAGATATTTTGCTACTGCTTGTTTCTTCAGGCATCTTGTCAAAAGTTAGGGTCTCGGTTGTTGTTGTTGTTGTCACTGTGTCCCAATTGAAACTATGTTTCTGCTTACAAAACGCGGGTCCCAGTGCTTCGTATAACTCGCATCCAGCAGGAAACTTGAGTGACTCTTCGGTTTCGGTTTCAGAAGTTGTGGGCATGAACAGGTTTTGATTTTGATCATTGCAGATGAAATCGGACATATTCCATCTGTTGTTTATTGTTCTATGTCTATCGTGATTGTTTACATGCCCTGAATTTGTAGATAATTCTGTCTGGAAGGAAAAGGATTACATGGTATAAGAAATGATGTTTGCAACGCATTTTGTAAAATAGGACTTAATGAGGAAAGCCTCATTGTGTTAAGTCAAAAAGAAACAACACTATAATAATATATTATATATTATATAGGGAGAGATTAGAGAAAGAATGATATACCACACAAGGAGAAGAGTCAGTTGATGTCGACACCATTAAAGAAGTTTGTAGGTGGGAAAAGATCTCTTCAATATGGTTCACGAGCTTCAAATCCTCAGCCATCTGTGCATTTGAAATAACACAGTATGAATATAATGCGAGTTTTTTTTTTTTTTTTTTTTTTTTTCTAAGCAAATAAATACACAACGAGGTGAGATTGAAGTTGTCTTACGGTTTTTAAAGAGCCAAGTTGTATGGCCCCGAATGGAGCAACAGCCATCACAGCAAAAGTCTGCATCACACAAAAACACCCAAACACACATCATTTCATCAACTCCATCGAATCTTTGTTGCAAAATATATTGCTTTATTTTTAATTACCATAGCTGATTTTTATATGTGACGTACCCTGATCCCGGATGTAAACTGTGTTTTCCATTCATCAAAATGCTGAAAATTAACACACATACATTTATATATTAAGTCCCAACTTTTTATGGTCTACATAAAAGCTTAAAATACGTTACAAATCCGAGCTTTTTCTCACCCCGTCTAAAGAATACGGGCTGTTGACTAGTTGATGCCCGGATTTCCATACATGTTTACCCGTAGCTGCAACCTGCCCGATGATCCTGCCCAACAAAGAAAGTACACAAAACAAACTTATTATTATGAAATATGAACATCACTGATGAATGATACAATGTATGCATAAATATTATATTACCAACTTACCCTTCTCCGATGGCATATACGCGATAAGACATCTTTACAATTGCTAATTCAACAAGATTATTTGCATAACTGTCGTCGACCGTGTTGCAATACACATCTTCACAAGTCAAAATCCTAAAAACATTTCCCAAATTGGTAAGTTTTTCAGCTAAAATTACGTATTTGCCCATCCTCTTGCAGAAAAGCAAGATTGAAGGGTGTTTTGGGTTTTTAACAGAATTGGGACTCCAAAGCTTAGAATATTGAACTACAAGACCGGAGACCCTATGATTGATACTGATTGACTTTTGGAGAACCATTATTTTTGAGAAAAATCCAAATCTAAGCAAAATATTAGTATATACAATTATACATATTTCAAATCAAAATTTGACAAAAATATAGCACTAAAGTTGCAGAAACAATCTTACATTTGATCTCCATGGTTGAGTTTCCAAAAAACAGCATACTTCCAGTCACTGTTCACACACAGATTCTTCAGCTCTTGGTGTAATTCCACACCACCCATCATCATCATCTTCTTTTTCTTCTTCTTCCTCACTATGTTAATGTACACTAAACACCCCACCCCCAACACAAACTAAATTGACCTTTTTACCCCTTTGCAGATTCTAACTACCCCTGTAAGAACCTCTACCTGCCTGTTTCCTCCGAAGCCCTGCACGCCGTTTTATCGGTGGCCCAACTGTGGGAGGAAGAAGGCTACCCAATCCCATCTTCTCCCCCAAATCACTCCAAACCCTAACCCTAACTCACTAATTCAACACCAAATCTGCAAGCTCACCTTCCAAAATATCAATATTTGAACAAACTATAACACAATTCAACAACTTCAACATCAACTTCCAAGAATCTTGAACCCAATTCAGTGTGATCAATCAATCAATCAATCACCAAGAAATCTTTGATGGGTGTTTTTCTATTTTAACTAATATCAGAAGACATGGATGAAAATAACATAAAAATGGAAGCTTTTCATGAAAGTTTGCTTTAATTTCAGTAAAAGAAACAAGTTCACAGAGACAAAGAAAAAGGTATTTGTTTCAGTTTGTGGGTTTTCTCATCTTTCAAACTTCTGTTTATAGGAGGGCGGCTTTATTTTCTATGGCAAATTTTACACCCCGCAGCCCTCTACTTTAAAGAGTTGCTAAATTGGGACTATAAGTGAAAACCATTTTTGCTAATTGGTCCATATCATTTTTGGGAGTTATGGTTAGCTTTTTATAGATATAGCCCAATTTGATATGGCGAACAGAACACCAATGATTCTTATAGCTAAAAGCTATAACACCAACAAAACACAACCCAACCCCATTGCTATCTTGTCATTATGTTTCATGATAACTATTGATGTATAATCAATGATATATGTTATTGTATGTTTTTTCGGTCAATTTAAAATACAATAAGTTTGAAGTTACTTTGTTTTGTGATTCGTATCACAAAAAGAGAATAAGCCAAGTCAAGACTTAAAAGGGGTTTATTCCATGATAACGAATTTTGACTTGATTGATTTCAGAACGTTAACTCTAATACTTCAATAATAAATTATACAATATAATTTGTTAACCATTTAGGGGTGTTTAGGATTCCTTAATTTACTTGATAAACACTTTTTGATAAAATCAAAAAGTGATTATTAGTTTATATACGACCAAAACGAGTTTTTAATGAAAGTGTTTGTATTAGTTTATATGATGATAAAATATTACAAGTTAATAAGTTTTTTTAATTGTTTGGATCAGTTTATATATATACGTAAAATGACAAAAAAAAGATAATCTTTATTTAGTATTTTTATATATAATAGTTTATATAAAAATATTAAGTTATAAGCAAAAGAGACAATGACTAATCTTAGCCAAAATTCCTAATTACTTCTCAATTAATAGCCAAAATTTTGCAAATAGCTAGTTTATAAAAAACACCTATTGTTTCCTAAGTTGTCTACAGTTTGGATGTTTAGTATATATATATATTCATTTTTGGTAATGAAACCGTAGGTATTGAAATAACCTACGGTATGCTTTGTATAAACTACGGTATCTCAAACCGTAGGTATTGGAAATCACCTACGGTGTAAAAGTTCTTAATGCACAATTTGTGCATTAAGAACTTGTACACTGAAGGTGATACCTACGGTTTCCATTTTTTGCGTTTTTTCCAAAAAAAAAAAATTATACCATTGTTAATAGATTTCATACTATACAACAAAAAACAAAAGAAAAAAAACGGAAGAATACGAGAAATACTTGGTTGTTGTTAGGAGTCGCCGTTGAAAGAGTTTCTTTATATGAACTCTAAAACAGTAGTCCATTTATCCAAATAGTTGTTCATTTATCCAAATAGTCAATTTTATATATTTTATATATTTTAGGCTAATTGACTGTCAAACAGTATATGAACTCTAAAACAGTAGTCCATTTATCCAAATAGTTGTTCAGTTAAAATATTTTTGGATCAAATGGTAAGTTTCTAAGAAAATTGTAGTTTTCCTTAATTAACTACTATTTCCTTGGTTATTTTTGATTAAGGGCTAATTTTTGGCTATTAAGTAAAAAGTAATTAGGAAATATGAATATATTTGTAATTTTCTCTAAGCAAAAAGGGTTAGGTTTTAGTGGAGGTATTATAATCTTTTAATCTTTATAAGTCATAAGCTCTTTTGAAAAATCAAAAAATATGACTTATATGAAATGATTTTTTGAGGGTGGTAAAAAAATATTTTAAAAAATGTTTATTAGCTTTCCAAATATTTTTTTTTAAAGATTTTTAGATTTTTTAAAAGCCTAATAAGTCAATAATTCATTTTCAAACTCAATCCCAAATACCCTCAAAATATAACAAATTTGTTATTTGTAACCATTTTATGTATCATTCTTTTATCATTTTATGTAACATCTTACATAAAATGATAAATTCACTCTATTAAATGGTTACAAAGCATATAACATTGATGGTTATATGGTGAAGCTATTTTACACTTAGCCATTTTCTAGATACATTTTAACTATGGAACCCACCTTATTATTGTGTTTTTCAACGTTCCTTTCCACATCAAATCACGTTATATATGCTTTTAAATAGTAAGAATATATTACTCATATATTGGCTAAACTAATATATACATTGAGATACTACAAATAAAACCAATAATACAAGAAAAATAACTACGAAATGAAACAGATTAAAGTCAAAATAATTGACAAAAAGCAGACTACGTAGATGAAAAAAAGAAAAAAAAAACTAAAACTAAAAATGATGCCATAAACCGATACAAATAAATGGAAAGCATTAGGTTTTATCTAATTGTGATTGTCAATGATCAGTAATCATTGTTTAAGATTATGGGTTTTCCCTTTTTTCCATATAGAAAGAAAATGCATGAAGTCACGACAAATTTACCAAAGAAAATCAAATATGGTTTTAAAAGCGAAACGAAATGATTATGTGTGTAAGCTTTAATCATGCATTGTTTAAGTACATTTTTTTTATTAAATATAAAATTTACTGGAGAAATATTATATGAAAAAAAAAATTGATTACGGGTTATTTTTTATATAGTTATCAAATTGTTTTGTTAAATTATCCAGATCTTAATTAAATTTTTTTAACTAAGTCATTGAAAAAAAAGAACAACCAATTAAATCGATTTTTTATCGTTTTCTATTATCAGCTTTTATTTTATAAAAAAATTATTCATTAAAATATCATATAAGACGAACGGTTGTTACTATTGTAAACTAATAACCATCTAGAAAACCAAAAAGTTTATAGTCTAGCTATATCAGGAATTGACGGATATTTGACCTTCAGCCAAATGTTAAGAGTTCAAGTATTGGTGGAGACACAAACAATATAGAGAGAAAACGACTAAAGTTTTATTATTAAAAGAAAACTTGATTACAACTATAAAGTCAATGTTTTATTATGCTAACAACTATAAAGCCTTACGAAATAAAATGGTCACGAGCAAGATTTTTCAGACATAAAACACGATCGATAAACTTATGAGAGTTCAATTTATTCTCCGCGAAGAAATATTTATGACACATTCAACAGTCTCCACCAATAAGCTTGATAATGATTCGCGACTCCTTTTCCCCTCATGAGCATTAATGTTTTGCTCATTTCAGACGTACCATTTAACCAAGCCGACATGCACTCGTAATTTATTATTGCTATAGAGGCGTGAGGCTATGTATATCGATCTTTCTAAGGGTTTCAAGATTATATATCTATGTACTTTTATAATATTTGCAATGTAATTCTTGGTGTCATTCGAATTGTTGATCATTCATTATGTATGGTCTTCATTTGATTGTGTTTCCATATAGCAACACATGAGTACTTCCCAAGTCAATATGACTGTTAGTGCTCTACCTCTCCTTCTAGCTCTTGTTCTATGTGTTTAAGATGAAGGCTAATGTAGAATAGGACAAACATGCAACTTATAATGATTTCCAAACGAAAATGATGAAAAAAATCATTAACGCTGCAAAAGATGGCTAACAAGCAATACTAAGGATTATTATTATTTTCTTTTTGCAAAAAATGGCCACCAAGGTCACGTGAAAAAGGAAGAGGACGAGAATGTCTTTCCATCCATAATGTTGCGCCATAAGGCTAGCAAATCGGATTAAAGATTAATGCATCATTTGCTACAAAAGAAGGAAAATACAAAGAAATAAAATTATTATTCTGATCTAACTCCTTGTGCTCCTATCTTCTCACGTACCACGGCTGCTACTTGAACCTGCAAAACATGAAAATATCTACTGCATCGGTCTGGTGAGTTATATTCTAATCTCTTTTCATGTTAATCTACTCTTCTTCTAATCCTTCCATCTTTACATACTCTTTCTTTCTTCTTTACTTCTTTCTCCTACTCTACAATCTAATATCTTATTCTCATATCATACACTACTATTCTTCTCATTCATTCATCTATCTATTCTATCTTTTTCTCATTTTTACATACTCTACCTTCTGTCTCTTTTCTCATACTCTTCCCTATTCTCAATCTTTCTCCATTCTTTCTATACTCTACTCTTTCTTCTCATCTCATACTCTTTTTTAGCATCTTACAGTCTTATCTCATACTCTATACATACACTTATCTTTATATCCATCGTACTCTTCTTTCTACCTCTATTTTTCTTTTTCCTTATTCTTATTTCATTTCATACCCTGTCTGTTCTCCTCATACTCTATGAATTCTCTTCTCATATTCTTACTCTACTATTCACACATCTCGTACTCTTAGCATGCATATCTCATACTCTTCTTACTCTTCATCTCTTTATTCTCAACTCTAATGCCTTAACATTCTATTCTCATCTAGATCCAATATCTTATACTATACTCTCATCGATCTTCTAAGGGAAACACCATCCCACTAACATTACCGGGTACACTCATCCGAAGTTACTTCCCTCTTTTATGACCCCTCATGGATTCTTATTCATTCTTCCTCAGTTGAATCACTAGTGGATTCCTTACTCTTAATCCTTCACGGATTTCATCTAAGTTCTTAAAAGAACTCACTTACCTTGTTCCACTCCTGGAACCTTTCCTCTATCTTCTCTATTTATACCTAACCTCATTCCCGCAAGAATCATCTATCTTCATCCCAAAAGGGACCATACTCTTATTCCCGTATGGATCATGCTCTCTATTCCTGAATGAATCATATTCTTTATTCCCGAAGGAATCT